TCTCCCTCATATGTTATCTGATCCATTGCTTGTTCCACACTTAGAACCTCCCATGGCCTTAACCCAGGGATAGCTTTAGACAATTCAATTCTGCTCACAACCAGACGATACATTAGATAGAGACGAGAAAATTTACTCATGATTTTACATTGCAAGACATCAGTCACCAAATGCTACTGCTACTGCATACCTAAGATCTTTTGGAATGTACTTGTTCGGCATGTGATCCTCTTCCAAAATTGTTGTCAGTTCAGAGCCACTAGCCCAAAGAAATAGAGCATGACTCGGAATTCTAACGCCTGGCCAAACACCATCATTAGCTTCAAGTACTGCTAAGTCTCGTCTCTTGCTTTCTATAGCCTCCTCTTGTAGCTGCTTATAGGTTTTTTTTTCATGTCCCTTGAGTGGAACCCAAGGAGGAATTCCTTTTTGTAGTTTGTGAATAAAAGCAGTTGCAGCAGCCCCAAGTCTAACTGGAGATCACCAAGGCAATAATCAATTTGTTGAAAACACAGAATTACACTCTATCAGTCATAAATTTTTTAAAATAATACAAAATGGATGTTGGGAGAAAAAGGAAACAAGCAGACCTTCCCAAGTGGCAATAGCAGGTTCCAACCCATAAACCATGTGAATAGGAACCCATTCATCCATGTCCTCACCCCAAATGAATGTATCTTTGTCAATAATCCCAGCACCCCAAGCCGTTTTAAGAGTAATAAGCTCCAATGGACCTCTTGTTCGGCCCAACCGGTCCTTATAGTACCATCCACCACTCCTCATGATAACTATAAAAACCATATAACATCAATATTATGAACAACACATGCAGAATAACAATCAAACAAACATCACACAATGCATCCTGTCCAATACACATGCAGAATGTCGTTAAAGAGTTTGAGTAGAAGAATCACTGGTTAACAAAACAATAGAAGTATGATGTATTACTTCAACACACGTCAAACCACAAAGAATTTCAGTAGTAAGTGAATGAAAACAGCTGCACTTAATTAAAAGCAAATGAGTTGTGATTAAAATACAATTAGCCAATTCCAAAAGCTAACAATTAGACAATCAGAAGGTTTAAGCAAGACCAGAAAGTCATTTTCATAAACTCACTAGACTACACAGTTAAACCAAACTAAAAACACACATTCTTCAAAGGTTCATGCTTTTTAACCACAAAGCTTTAATCACATAAACTTACAGTCATAGTAGCGCTTCTCAAGCTTCTTATACCCAACTGCCTGAGCAACATCGATAGGCCGGCCGGGCGGGTAAGGCCTCTGGCGGAACCCCCAAAGCCCAAAAAAGAACTGCCTTGCAAAATCCCAGAACTTGTCATCAGACTCTTCCCTCGTCTTTATGGCCTTCCTGGGCATGGGTCTTCCGTCCGGCCCAATAACATTCGGCACAGCCTGCCACAGTTTCTTATCTTCATCCCTGTACGGCCTGTCATTCTCTTTGAGCTCCATCTCGTTGATCTTCTCGGCAATCTGCTCAGCTCGAGCCAAGAACTGCACAACTGGGCTCTCCCTGAACTTCTTCCAGAACTTCTCGTTCTCTCTGAGCTCCTCCTCAGTTGGGTTCTCTTTCTTTTCGAATATTGGGTCTTCGCTCAGTATCTTATCGACCTCTGGGGCGTGCCTGTAATCTGGTGCGTTCTCGCATTCCCAGAAGTACTGCTCCAGCATCTCGGTGTAGGGTCCCGGTTTCTCGGGTTCGGAGGGGGTTTTCGGGTCGGGTTTTGGAGGGCCCTTGAAGAGGTTTGAGAGGCTGAGTGCAGAGAAATTGGGAGAGGTTGTTGTTTGGGTGGCTCTGTGGAAAAACGAGTCTGTGAGTGAGAGGAGGTTGATTGGCGGGAGTGGGGTTGGCGGTTTCTTAAACCAGCTTTCGAAGGGGTTGAAGTTGATGGAGGCCATTGGAGGAAGTGTGAATTTGGGAAACCTCTAAATTTGAGATTTTTGGGTTTTATCGTTGACACAGAGGTTGAAAATGGAGGAGATGAGAGGGGCAGAGGTTTTCAGCCTTGACTGCTGAAAGTGGATGTAATTCAAGTTTGGGCTTGGCCTGAGAAGTTTGAGCCTGGGCTAAATCTAATGACCATTTTTCGGGCCTAAGAATTTCTTTGAATAAAATTCTATCAAATCACATTCTTGTTTTTATTTATTTATTTATTATTTTTTTCCGTAACACATTCTGTTTTTCTTTTTTCTTTATCACAACATTGAACATCCCTCTCTCGTATTATCACTCTAATGTGTATGCGAAGCAGGATCGTGCAAGGGTACAGACACCCTACCTCAATCAATTGACTTAACGCACATCTTAAAGTGTCTAAGACGACTTCTTCTCTCATGTTATTACCATTTTTTTCTTTTTGATGGAAAGACTTGGTCCGTTGTTGATGGTGTTTCTGTAGCCCCATAAAGAAAATAGTGCTTCTTGGTCCCCTTCCCAAGTGTAGGGTATAGCCGTTACGTATCATCTCCACTTTTTTGTTGCTCGAGGACCTACACAGTTTTTTTCTTTTTCCTTTTTTGGCTTAGCCACCGCTTACACTCAGCAAGTGCAAAATTAGGAGTAGGCCTGTAACTCTGGAAATCATTTGGGCATTGGAACTCACATTGTGAATGTGAACCATGACAACAAATTCTCCACGTAGCCATGACATTAAAGTAAAATAGAAAAGGCGAAAAGTTCCCTCCCACACTGTACACACTGATAAAGAAAGGCCACCCAACTAACTGCCCCAAGTGAAAATCACTTATCCACAAAATTTAAAAGGAAACATTTACTTGTAAGAATATTTTCGATTTTATATATACAGCTTTAAGAGCAAATGAATGGGCATTGAAATGCAAAAATTATTCTTGCACTTAAGCAGAGAAGAGCAGAGCAGGGAAGTAGTTTGGTTTAGTTTGATGCAGTCAAATGGGTTTTAGAAAATTGTTGACATTCTTCTTCTTCCTGTTGTTGTTGTTGATAATCCCATCTTACTGTAATGCTTCTGAGAAAGTTTCAGTGGCTCTCTACTATGAAACTCTGTGTCCATATTGTGCAGATTTCATAGTCAACCATCTGGTCAAGCTCTTCCAGAATGGTCTCATCTCCATCATCAACCTCAGGCTGGTCCCCTGGGGCAACGCTTGGCTCAACTCCGACGGCTCCTTCAGCTGCCAGGTAAAAAACAACCCCCTCCCTCCATTGCTCTTTTCTTCCTTTTCATTTCCTCCTCTTGTTCTAGCTACCAACTCGCAACAACAACATTATCTCTTTACATGTCCCAAACGACGTCGTTTCCAGCTGCATAGTATTTTTTTACTTTTTCTGTATCTCTGGGGCTTAACTTTCTTGTGGGCCGGTATTATTATGGTGTCTTACTGTACCAACCGGTCAGCTACCATCTTTTGTTTTGTTATTATTATCTTTATTTTGGGTTTTGCAGCATGGATCAGATGAATGTTTGCTCAACACAATTGAGGCCTGCACCATGTCCATCTATCCTGATGTGGTAAGCTCCTCCTCAATGCCCCCCAAGAAAGACAAATTTAACTCATAGGCCAAAACCTAAATGATCAATGTAGTTCAAAACATGTAAAGGACCCTAAAACAATCAGTGTTTCATCTAATATGTTGAAGAAAATTCTAATGCAGAACCGGCATTTTGCATTCATCCACTGCGTTGAGCGCCTTAGCTTGCAGGGCAGACACAGTGCATGGGCCAATTGTTTTGAAATGTCTAGATTAGGCACTACCCCTATCGATTGCTACAACAGTGGAAATGGCAATGTGGTCAGTTCACTTCTGTTCATATATATAAAAACTGCTTCATTATTTCAGAATTGAAATCTTCATGGATTGGAAATTTGGGTTTGATACATTGCATACATAGATTGAAGGAAAATATGGTAGGGAAACTGCTCAGATTAAACCCCCACTTAGATTTGTGCCATGGGTTCTTGTGAACAATCAACCACTTCAAGAGGTTTGTCAACTTATTATTTTCCTTTGGGATCTCATCTCTTAATTTTTGTTTCTCTTTTGTCACCCTCATAACAATTTCCTCTATGTAGGATTATGAAAATTTTATGGCCTATATATGCAAGGCTTACAAAGGCAAACCTCCGGAAGCTTGCAGATCAGTCCGTTTTACGACTGAATCAATGGGGAAAGAAAAACCGGTTCCTCAAGTTTGTCGTGCAAGCGAAGGAAGAAACTCTTCACATTATCAGAAGCACCAGCACAGAAAGGTTTAAGATGAGGCAAAGCTTTCATGGCTGCTGCTTCACTAATAATGTTGATCTGATGTAGTTGAATGAAGCTAGTTTGTAACTTATAGTGCTCAGATTGGCAAATTCCATGTCTCAGAATTTATATATCCTGCTCTGATGTAATTTGTAAACACCAGAGAAGGTTCAATGCGCAGCGTTTTATTGATGCAACTGTTATGTTAAGTCGTTAAATGTTCTCGTCTTTTCATGCCAGCATTATGAATTTATGATGGAGGTGACCAAGTGATGGCAAACCTGACAGCAGTCGGTGGTTGTGCTTGCTCCATTGATTAGGTTTTGCAGATTACTATACTAGCAAAATAGTTTTTCTACTGGTTCACTAAAGTTGAAGTTTGTGAGAGAAATTTACCTCTGATAAGGCTTAAGAGTTACAAAAGCTTGGATGACTTTTGCCGAAATTATACAAGACAAACACAATAAAAGACTTAAAGGAAATAGAGTTCACAATCATTTTTGCAAATTACATTGAAAGGGATTTGACAGCTACAAAATAGTTTATAATAAATTGAAAATTTATTCACATGTTGGGTTGGATTTGAAGCCAACTAACATAAAGGAAGACACACTGCTCTGCTATGAAGCCTCTGCACATAGCAGGCTCTCAAATCTCTAACTCAACAATGGCTTCTGCTTATCCGTTCTTCACTTCTCTCATTGCCTGTTCTATTTTCTTGACCACATTTTCATCTGATGCTGCAGAAAATGGCAGATTTGGAGTTTCTAGGATTTGAAGCTCAGAAAGTTACTCTCTCAGTTTACTATGAAACTCTATGCCCATTTTGTGCTACTTTCATCGTCAAAAATCTTGCTCAAATATTTGATAACAATCTCATCACCATTCTCAATCTCAGACTGGTTCCTTGGGGAAAGGCATCTATCAACTCATCTAAGAACTCCACTGTTTGTCAGGTCCCATCTCTAACTTTACCTTTTTAATTGGTTTTGCAGTTTGTTTGCATGAATTAAACTTGCCCATATTTTGGTTCCTTTTCTTTTCCATCAAAATCTCAGCAACCAAACAGGTTTTTGTTTATGACAATCACATTCTATCTTGTGACAACTTGCATGGACAACCGACAGTCTAAACCCTCACCGTTATATGCATTTTATTTTTCTATAATCTTCAAAATTACGGTGAGATGTTTAATTGCTTGATGATTAAATTTTGTAAAATTATACAGCACGGCCCAGATGAGTGCAGGCTAAATTCTGTGGAAGCATGCGCCATCAATGTTTTGCATGATGTGGTGAGAGACCCCTCTCTTCCCACACAATCTATTTGCTGCAAAATTAGATATAACGTAATATTGGAGCGTAATGTATATTTATATTAATTAATGTAGTTAAGTTGGCCGAGGCTGTGCTATTTTTGGCCTTTAAGCTGGTAAATATATTTAAATCTCTGCATTATCTTAAACCCCCCAATGAATTTCTGATGCAGAACAAGTATTTTGCTTTGATTTACTGCATAGAATTTCTGGCCATTGAAGGAAGGCAGAAGGAATGGCAAACTTGTTTCAGTTCGTTGGGGTTGCCTTCAAAACCCATCTTGGATTGCTACAGAAGTGGAAATGGAACAAAGGTCATTTTGATTTAGTAAACTAATAGTAGCAACTGATCAGCATAATAATTAACTGATTAGGGTTTTAACTGGTATGCAGATTGAACAAAAATATGCTAATGAAACCATGCACCTCAATCCGCCTCTTAAGTTTTTACCATGGCTGGTTCTGAACAACCAACCAATTGGAAATGTTGGGCATCTCTCTCTCTCTCTCTCTCTCTCTCTCTCTCCGTATTTTTATTTTTATTTTTCCTTTGATGCGGGACTATATGTCTCTCAAATTTTTTTAGCCTTAATGCAGGATTATGAAAATTTTGCCGCCTATGTATGCAAGGCTTACAAAGGTAACAAAGTACCCTTGGCCTGCCAATCTGTGCATTTGAAGCAAAAGACAGAGTAGACAGTGACACATGCTGCACTTACCACAAGCACAAAAGATCGATTACCGGCTGATAAAAAGCTTCATGGTTGCCACAGAAAACTAGTTTCTCAGGTTGCTTACCTGAACTAGTGATTTCTATTAACATTCAGAATAGCACACATGTTTGAGTATAGGAAATGAGATTCCTTGGTGGTGGTAATATTTGTTTTTCTGGGTTATTGGTGGATCAATTACAAATGCATAAAATTCTAGAAAATTAATTGTCAAAACGACTTTTGTGATGCAGTGGCAGTAAATTACATAACAATCTATCTATCTTACCATATTTATTAGGGATGACAACCTAATTTTCTATATTTTTCTTGTGAAGCTTGTAGCCTTCAGGTCCATGCCTATCCTTCAAAAAGCCACTTAATTCGATAGAAGGTGCACCAATCAGATTATAATTTCATTGATTAATAAAATGAATATGACACAATTGTTCTACCTATAAAAACTTTCTTCTATGGAGCTATATGATCTCTTAGAAAAATGCAGAAGGCATGAAACAATCCAAGAAAAAACAGTAAAAGACTGACATAAAACTAAATCTTAATGAAGGTTCTGAAAGTGTTAATCATATTTTAATGGGTACTGGATCTCATGAGAATAACTGAAAGATAACACCAAATCTTACTCTGTAAGGCCATAATTAGTTTATGAATATAGTAATTCTCTAGGTACCCTGCAACTTCTAAAACGTTTTGAACTCACTTATGTCTTCAAGGACCAAGATATACAACAATATTTTTCTGCTTAATCTGTAAAAAGATATGCCTTGATGCAACGATTGTTGTCTTGTTCAACAGGGAGAGATTTCCACTCCCATTGTTGGCTCAAGCTCACTCAAAACGCGTTTTATTGATGCAACAATTTGAATGACTGATTTTCCACTCCCATTGTTGTCTGTGTTCAACAGGGAGGGATTTTCTGGATTTAGAGCTATGATCTCTTAGAAGTTAGAAATCACCTACCAAATAAAAAAAATTATTCGATCAGCTTGAGCCATTGAGAGAGGCTATATTTGGTTTAATACACACTAATTTTTCTTGTTTGAGTTGCTAATTATCTAAATAATGCAATATTCATTCATGTGTATGCATACAAAATACATGAGTTCATTCTATAAATACATAGTTGGATAAGTCAAAAGAATAAATGATAGTGCAGAAAACACCAACTGGGTACGGTAAGCAAACAAGCAATTTCTGCTTATCCCAAGATTTCATATAATTATCACCCTCCAATTTTCAACTCAAAACAAATGAATTTAAGAGCATCTCTCAACTCAATTTGCTAAAATGAGAAGAACTTGAAGTGATTCAGTTTAGTATCACTTTCATGCTCAAGGTTAAAGAGGGCATTATGGTCAGTGGTCACACTAAAATTTATTGCAGAGAAACGGCTTGGTGCTGTAGTGGGTGGTACAGTAGAACTTGGGGCAACTATAAATATGCAGTCTACATGTAGTAGCTTCAGTGTGCCAGCCAACTTCTAATAAGCATTCAACAATGGATTCTTTCAATTTCATCCCCCTTCTTGTTCTACTTTCCTTCCTCTTTGTTTATGCGTCTCGTTCTTCTTTCGAAGATCAAGGCATTAATGTCCAGTCTACTCCGGAACCCCGAAAACTTGAAGGGCCTCCTACAAAAGTTGAGAAAGTTGAGCTAGTTCTGTATTACGAAACTCTATGCCCCTACTGTAAAGAGTTCATTGTAAAGGAACTGATAAAGGTATTCGACAGAGGTCTCATAAACATTGTCAACCTGAGGCTAGTCCCCTACGGAAATGCTCATATTCAAGAACCTGACAAAACCATTGTTTGCCAGGTAAGATCTCCCATCTTCTTCGTCAGTTCTTATTAATTCTATGTTTTTGTATCACTGCATTTGGTTAATTACTGACATGGTGAATTCACACTCTGCAGCATGGCCCAGATGAATGCTACTTGAACAGCATACAAGCCTGTGCAATCAGCAGCTGGCCAGATGTGGTAAAACCATCTTTTTTACCTCAATATCTTAGAATATAACTACCCTTATAACCTGCAGTTTGTCCAAGAGATTGATAGCACATTACAATATATCTTAACAAATGTAGTTTTGTTATTTTCTGTTTAACTCTGATGCAGAAGCAACACTTCAAATTGATTCATTGTGTTGAGAACCAAACCATTGAAGGAAAACAGTCGAAAGAAGAAGGATGGAAATCTTGTTGTCGAAAACTAGGGATGAATCAGAAACCTGTCCAAGATTGCTACGACAGCGGATTAGAGAGAAAGGTCAACACTAAATGGTTTTAACTGCACTTTGTTTTGTTTTTCTTCAGGCAAGTTGAATCTTATATCCATATACAGATTCAAACTTTATTTCTAATCATTTAACACAGTGATTGTAATTGGTATGCAGCTTATACTGCAGTATGCTAATGAAACAAACCATCTTGTTCCACATCACACCTATGTACCATGGGTTGTTGTCAATAATCAACCACTCTATGATGTAAATTCCCTCTCTTTCTTTCTTT